TAATAAGCTCTGAAGAGATACTAACTCAACTAAACCGTATAATAAGCTCTGAAGAGATACTAACTCAACTAAACCGTATAATAAGCACTAAGAGATACTAACTCAACTAAACCGTATAATAAGCTCTGAAGAGATACTAACTCAACTAAACCGTATAATAAGCTCTGAAGAGATACTAACTCAACTAAACCGTATAATAAGCTCTGAAGAGATACTAACTCAACTAAACCGTATAATAAGCTCTGAAGAGATACTAACTCAACTAAACCGTATAATAAGCTCTGAAGAGATACTAACTCAACTAAACCGTATAATAAGCTCTGAAGAGATACTAACTCAACTAAACCGTATAATAAGCTCTGAAGAGATACTAACTCAACTAAACCGTATAATAAGCTCTGAAGAGATACTAACTCAACTAAACCGTATAATAAGCTCTGAAGAGATACTAACTCAACTAAACCGTATAATAAGCTCTGAAGAGATACTAACTCAACTAAACCGTATAATAAGCTCTGAAGAGATACTAACTCAACTAAACCGTATAATAAGCTCTGAAGAGATACTAACTCAACTAAACCGTATAATAAGCTCTGAAGAGATACTAACTCAACTAAACCGTATAATAAGCTCTGAAGAGATACTAACTCAACTAAACCGTATAATAAGCTCTGAAGAGATACTAACTCAACTAAACCGTATAATAAGCTCTGAAGAGATACTAACTCAACTAAACCGTATAGCAGGCTCTGAAGAGATACTAACTCAACTAAACCGTATAATAAGCTCTGAAGAGATACTAACTCAACTAAACCGTATAATAAGCTCTGAAGAGATACTAACTCAACTAAACCGTATAATAAGCTCTGAAGAGATACTAACTCAACTAAACCGTATATAAGCTCTGAAGAGATACTAACTCAACTAAACCGTATAATAAGCTCTGAAGAGATACTAACTCAACTAAACCGTATAATAAGCTCTGAAGAGATACTAACTCAACTAAACCGTATAATAAGCTCTGAAGAGATACTAACTCAACTAAACCGTATAGCAAGCTCTGAAGAGATACTAACTCAACTAAACCGTATAATAAGCTCTGAAGAGATACTAACTCAACTAAACCGTATAATAAGCTCTGAAGAGATACTAACTCAACTAAACCGTATAATAAGCTCTGAAGAGATACTAACTCAACTAAACCGTATAATAAGCTCTGAAGAGATACTAACTCAACTAAACCGTATAATAAGCTCTGAAGAGATACTAACTCAACTAAACTGTATAATAAGCTCTGAAGAGATACTAACTCAACTAAACCGTATAGCAGGCTCTGAAGAGATACTAACTCAACTAAACCGTATAATAAGCTCTGAAGAGATACTAACTCAACTAAACCGTATGATAAGCTCTGAAGAGATACTAACTCAACTAAACCGTATAGCAGGCTCTGAAGAGATACTAACTCAACTAAACCGTATAATAAGCTCTGAAGAGATACTAACCCAACTAAACCGTATAATAAGCTCTGAAGAGATACTAACTCAACTAAACCGTATAATAAGCTCTGAAGAGATACTTACTCAACTAAACCGTATAATAAGCTCTGAAGAGATACTAACTCAACTAAACCGTATAATAAGCTCTGAAGAGATACTAACTCAACTAAACCGTATAATAAGCTCTGAAGAGATACTAACTCAACTAAACCGTATAATAAGCTCTGAAGAGATACTAACTCAACTAAACCGTATAATAAGCTCTGAAGAGATACTAACTCAACTAAACCGTATAATAAGCTCTGAAGAGATACTTACTCAACTAAACCGTATAATAAGCTCTGAAGAGATACTAACTCAACTAAACCGTATAATAAGCTCTGAAGAGATACTAACTCAACTAAACCGTATACTAAGCTCTGAAGAGATACTAACTAAACTAAACCGTATAATAAGCTCTGAAGAGACACTACCTCAACTAAACCGTATAGCAGGCTCTGAAGAGATACTAACTCAACTAAACCGTATAATAAGCTCTGAAGAGATACTAACTAAACTAAACCGTATAATAAGCTCTAAAGAGATACTAACTCAACTAAACCGTATAATAAGCCTTGAAGAGATACTAACTCAACTAAACCGTATAATAAGCTCTGAAGAGATACTAACTCAACTAAACCGTATAGCAGGCTCTGAAGAGATACGAATTGACCAACAGCGATACACGTTAGGATAGCTGTCTTTGTTAGGTCGGTTAAAAAGTTAGAAACGATTTGCTTCCCGATTAGTACTTAGAGAAATTGATAGCCATAAAGCTGAGTGTACGTATGTAATTCTCCTTTATAATTAGACCAAACCACCAATTCTTCTGCTTAACTTAACCAATATTCAGACAGTTCAGAATCTTCACTCAAATTATTGGTCTTGTTCAGGACTAGAACCAGCTGCTAATACTTTAGTAACTACACACAGTTACCATAGTAACACTACTAGTTACCATAGTAATACTCTAGTAACTACACACACAGCTACTAACCATTCCTTTTCAGTTACATTTGTTATCTGACGCAATAATTGATCTGCTACAGATACCATTTGGCAAATTGTTTCCTGCATCAATATACTTCTGTTTCTACTTCTCCACTATAGAGAGTAAGAGTGTCCTGCAAAGTGGGAAAATATAGAGAGTAAGAGGGTCCTGCAAAGTGGGAAAATATAGAGAGTAAGAGGGTCCTGCAAAGTGGGAAAATATAGAGAGTAAGAGGGGTCCTGCAAAGTGGGAAAATATAGAGAGTAAGAGGGTCCTGCAAAGTGGGAAAATATAAAGAGTAAGAGGGTCCTGCAAAGTGGGAAAATATAGAGAGTAAGAGGGTCCTGCAAAGTGGGAAAATATAGAGAGTAAGAGGGTCCTGCAAAGTGGGAAAATATAGAGAGTAAGAGGGTCCTGCAAAGTGGGAAAATATAGAGAGTAAGAGGGTCCTGCAAAGTGGGAAAATATAGAGAGTAAGAGGGTCCTGCAAAGTGGGAAAATATAGAGAGTAAGAGGGTCCTGCAAAGTGGGAAAATATAAAGAGTAAGAGGGTCCTGCAAAGTGGGAAAATATAGAGAGTAAGAGGGTCCTGCAAAGTGGGAAAATATAGAGAGTAAGAGGGTCCTTCAAAGTGGGAAAATATAGAGAGTAAGAGGGTCCTGCAAAGTGGGAAAATATAGAGAGTAAGAGGGTCCTGCAAAGTGGGAAAATATAGAGAGTAAGAGGGTCCTGCAAAGTAGAACAATATAGAGAGTAAGAGGGTCCTGCAAAGTGGGAAAATATAGAGAGTAAGAGGGTCCTGCAAAGAGGGAAAATATAAATAATATAAAATAAGCAGTGCAGATATGAAGCAGGTAGTAGGACTCTTTCTGCTACTTGCAAATCATAAGCAGTGCAGATATGAAGCAGGTAGTAGGACTCTTCCCTCCCTCCCTCCCTCCCTCCCTCCCTCCCTCCCTCCCTCCCTCCCTCCCTCCCTCCCTCCCTCCCTCCCTCCCTCCCTCCCTCCCTCCCTCCCTCCCTCCCTCCCTCCCTCCCTCCCTCCCTCCCTCCCTCCCTCCCTCCCTCCCTCCCTCCCTCCCTCCCTCCCTCCCTCCCTCCCTCCCTCCCTCCCTCCCTCCCTCCCTCCCTCCCTCCCTCCCTCCCTCCCTCCCTCCCTCCCTCCCTCCCTCCCTCCCTCCCTCCCTCCCTCCCTCCCTCCCTCCCTCCCTCCCTCCCTCCCTCCCTCCCTCCCTCCCTCCTGGCGTCTAGATGCCACCACTGATTAATATGAGATGCCTATAACATGAGACAAGTCAGTTATGTTGCTTGTATGGCTCCAGGTACGTCTCAAGCCAGGAATTTGTTTTAAATAAGTAATATAATATGTAACCGTTTAGTCTGGGATATTCAGATATTGTCATCATGAATTTTAAATGTCAGTGCTCATGACGCTCCTTCATGGAAAATGTAATCGAGATAACGTGCCAAAAAGACCGTGGTTTTCCGCCCTATCTCAAAATAGATCATATTAATAATCTTAATCACCATGTTCTGTGTTCATTCAAGTTAAACTCTCAGACATAAATTTATTACAGTGTCTAATACGAGAGTTGATCTCATGGCGGGAACCCTCTCTCTCTCTCTCTCTCTCTCTCTCTCTCTCTCTCTCTCTCTCTCTTTCTCCCTCTCTCTCTCTCTCTCTCTCTCTCTCTCTCTCTCTCTCTCTCTCTCTCTCTCTCTCTCTCTCTCTCTCTCTCTCTCTCTCTCTCTCTCTCTCTCTCTCTCTCTCTCTCTCTCTCTCTCTCTCTCTCTCTCTCTCTCTCTCTCTCTCTCTCTCTCTCTCTCTCTCTCTCTCCCTCCCTCGTGTCCTATATATAAACACCTCGTATCCGGTCCCCTCACAGCCCCTGCCTTATAATCATTTATTACAATATAGATTAAATCCGGAATCCTTCCACCTTTACCGTATAAAAATGATCCCTCACAATTAGTTTCATTCAGTTCGTGCTAGTTAGTTTCATTCACCGCACTGGTTAGGTCCTCTTTCTGACGCTCCTCTCAACTTCTCGCCAATAATTAGAGTCCGCCGCGTGGTTCTTGGTCAGTGTGAGGTGTTAATCAGTTAATCTAGGTTAATCAGTAATTGGAGATTACGCTTTGTTCCGCTACATTGTTATAAATATATATTGTTGGCTAATCTCGTTCATTGTTTGTTCGTCTGAAGCTTTATTAATTCAAGATGCCGAGTCTACAGGTTGCGTGGGTAGCGCAGTTCGTGCACAGTAGCGCAGTTCGTGCACAGTAGCGCAGTTCGTGCACAGTAGCACAATTTGTGCACAGTAGCACAGTTCGTGCACAGTAGCGCAGTTCGAGCACAGTAGCACAGTTCGTGCACAGTAGCGCAGTTCGAGCACAGTAGCACAGTTCGTGCACAGTAGCGCAGTTCGTACACAGTAGCACAATTTGTTCACAGTAGCACAGTTCGTGCACAGTAGCACAATTTGTGCACAGTAGCACAGTTCGTGCACAGTAACGCAGTTCGTGCACAGTAGCGCAGTTCGTGCACAGTAGCGCCTTTGTTTAAGTTAACCTTTATACCACAACCGCTTTGGTGTCAGTTTATTTAAGTATTTGTACTTGGCTGACTATCATCTATGCCGAATTTAACTTACTTTTTTTAGTTTGCCAACATGATCACCTTTAACAATTTGTACTTCTCTCGTAAGTGCTAAAATTTCTTCTTCACTGCAGAAAATTTTTCATTTTATTCTTTCTTTCATATTTTATTTTTAACTTTTAATTAAAAAAAAAACACTCAAAGAATTTATCAATCCTGGTCCCATGAGACCTTAGTACGTATTTATAACAGTATAATATAATATTAGTAACTATAACCTTATATAATATATAGTATAAGTGATTTTAGATTTTCAGTTGTCTTGTTGAACTGTGTCGTCTTGCTGGAACTAGTTGGGAGTACTGCGTTAGTTGCCGGTGGTGAAGTTAGACAACTTTCAAACGATCTGTTCAATAACTTAGCGGAGGAAGAGGGTTATATTGGGAGCAACATGGTTACTTCTGCTGGTCTGGACAAGCTTCACACGTGCCAGGTAACTTAACAGCTTTACACGTGCCAGGTAACTTAACACGTGCCAGGTAGTTTCATACGTGACAGGTAACTACACACGTGCCAGGTAGCTAAACACGTGCCAGGTAGCTAAACACGTGCCAGGTAGCTTCACACGTGCCAGGTAGCTAAACACGTGCCAGGTAGCTTCACACGTGCCAGGTAGTTTCACACATGCCAGGTAACTTAACACGTGCCATGTAGCTTCACACGTACCAGGTAACTTAACACGTGCAATGTAGCTTCACACGTGCCAGGTAGCTTCACACGTGCCCGGTAGCTTCACACGTGCCAGGTAACTTAACACGTGCCAGGTAGTTTCACACGTGCCAGGTAACTTCACACGTGTCAGGTAGCTTCACACGTGCCAGGTAGCTTCACACGTGCCAGGTAGCTACACACGTGCCAGGTATGTGGCGACATTTAATTCTTAAAATAACGATATTCTTTCCGGTCACTTAAATATTAATTTGTAGTTTTACACCAATATAATGATCACTATAAAGGTGTTTGGAGACTCGCACATTACCACATTTGACGGAAAAAGGTACTCAGTTTGGGCAGGGTCTGACTGCACGTATATTCTCGCTTTGGATTGCTACTACGCTTCGTGGTTTATATACGTTACCGTAAGTGTGTAGTCAGTGTAGCTTACTTATCTTTTGTACGTTACTGTAAGTCTGGAGGGGTTATTTAAAGTACTGTTTTTCCCAATCCATGATTCAAGTGCAGCACAAAAAAGTTAAGGAAAAGAGTTAGCGAACAATATTTTTTTTGTATATGGTGAGTTGTGTCCGTCGCCCGTCGTCGTACGTACGTACGTGCCCGCGCGCACAGTTTTCGCCCACGTTCCTCACTCCGCAAAGTTATCTTTCACAATATTCTGAACCAAATTATTGTTGGTGCGCGGCGCTGGACGGATCAAGTATCATTGTAGCCACTAATTTATGAAGCTGGAAGATATAATTTAGTGGAGGTCGTCGGATATGTGAATTATTTTCACTGTATCTCGAGTTAGTATTATTATTATGCAAAAATCCTTGTAGTTGTCAGCTTGCATAAACAATAAACATAGGGTTACATAGAAATATACGATATTTTCAAAAATCAATATGGAATTAACTGGGCGACGCTCGGCCTGTCACTCCACCATATCTGCATGCTTATAAATAGTGAAGCCTGGGGTCCCCAGATTGTATGGAATATGATAAATACGCAATCACGGATCGGGAAATTGAGCGGCCATCCACAATAAAAAGAAAAGCGGCCGCATTTCTTGTTAATCTTCAAGTTTCTTCCTATACATATATTTATTAGATAATTTACCTACTTAATTTTGTCTTTACTTCTTTATCAGAAGTTGAGCTACTGCTCTGTTAATGTCAAAATTTCATTCTACTCTTAACTTTCTAACGGATTGTTAAAGTTTGTCGCGAATTACAGTAGTTGTGGTATTTATTTGCTCCTTTATAATATCTACAGTTCGTGAAGTGTGGAGAAGCTAGTAAGAGCGTGTCCAGCGTGGTCCTCTTTAAACAGGATACTGTATTAATCCTCACCCGCGGCTGGCAAGTTAACACTGAAAAGGGAGAGGTAATGGCAGTTTACATATTAGATTAGAGTTGACATATTAGATTAGAGTTGACATATTAAATTAGAGTTTACATATTAAATTAAAGTTGGCATATTAAATTAGAGTTTACATATTAAATTATAAAGTTTACACATTAAATCTGTTTTGGGAATTTATTCGATGTTTAACGTAAACATAATATATACATAATTTTCTCAAAGTAATCGTAGCATGTCATCTTATTCTTAACTTATCTATTTTTGGGTTTACCATTTTAGGATATTCGAATAAAATATTTTAATGCAAGACCACGGTTTTTGCAGGACCACTAACTGTCAGACTGTGGGAATAATATTTTCAGCTCTTAATTTAGTCCCTTTTTAAATAATTCCAACCTGGGAAAATATTCAATCGAGATGTTTCGAGTTTTAAAATATATATATAGGTATATACTATATATATATATACAACGGTGTTTCTTTCTCCTTTTATCAAAGTGCTCAACTAATTGAATAAGAGCTTTATAAGCGTGACAAAGTAAACGGTGTTTTCGTCAAACTAAAAGTTTCATGGATGTGCGAACAACAATCTTCAGTGACACTGATGATTGCGTTTGCATGAAACTGTAAGTTTGTGGAATCGTTGTTTTTCTTGTATATATATATAGGAAGGAAAAACTGAAAGAACTGGTATCCCACATCTCAGAGCAGGATATCCTGTTGACACTGGTAGACAAGGGAGTTCAAGGACAATTCTTAACATGGGAAAACACCATGCAGCTAGACTTAGGTTGGAACAACCTTATTTACAACTACAAGATGAGCCCTGCTCTTCTTAAGTTGCACCTCAATGCAACCCATGACGTTGCAAATACTCCAGCAAACATGAGCCTGTGGAACTATGCTGACACAGGACACTGTCCACTTTGCGGATGGAGACACTGCAACATTAAACACATTTTGGTAGCTTGCAACTTCTCGCTGAACAACAAACGATACAATTGGAGGCATGACAACGTGCTGCGGGTCATTGCGAAATCCCTACTGGATCAAATCGAGAAGTTCAACAACAAAGATTTTAAACTTGAAGTCCAGGACTGGACAGGCTTCAAGTCATCTAGCAGCTGTTACCAAAAACCGAAGACGAAGATGAAAAGAGAGAGCCCTTTTGAGAAAGACCAAGATTGGCAGATTATCTGGGACGAAGATGACCTCCCAGCACAGTTCCCCCAGCACATCTACGGAACTGCAGAACGTCCCGATATTGTAGTCTGGTCTGATAAAGGAAAGGTGGTCATATTAGTAGAGTTGACAGTTGGTGATGAGAGTAACTTTAGTGACCAAGTAGAACGTAAACAAGCACGTTACAACAGAGAGCTTATTCCTGGGCTGCATGGCAGTGGGTGGAAAGCTCAGCTTTTTACGGTAGAGGTTGGGTGTAGAGGCTTCTGGCATCATACCTTACCAGCCCTACTAAACTACTTTGGTGTTACAAAGAGAGTAAAGAAAGCAGTGTTCCAAGAGGCGGCTTTGGTTGCTCTCAGATGTTCCTATGCAATCTGGTTAGCAAGAGAAAACAAGAAGTGGAGTCCCTGCTACAACATCGCACAAAGACCCACTGTTCTACCATCAACTGAGTGAGCTGAGTGTTGGGCCCTTAAAACATTGTTTAAAGCCACACCTGGAATCTCAAGTACCAGGATCAGTGATGGAAGCTAAGCAGATACATAGATGGAGTTGCTATCGAAAGATATAGAACTCAGGTATCCAACATCGTACCTTGATTATATTGTAGTATTTTCTCAATATATAGTAGTAAGATATGTATTACTTATATTTTTAATATGTTTATAACCCCAGATCCGTATGCGCGAAGGAAGACCCCGACATTTGGGCAGCGGTGTATTTGTCCAACTTTTCCCAGAGCATCTCAGGTTACAAATTTTGTAAAACTAAATATTTTAAACGATTGTGAAATAAATTTTGATTAATATCTAACATATCAACACATTAATGTCACATTAACATACTATTACTACTAATTATACTAATCGATAACATACCAAGAAAAACTCGAAACATCTGCTTTTACTTTTAGCTTCTCATATTTTTACGATATAGTTACTTACCCCAATTCTACTTACCATATATTGTTTAATAACTTCATTATACCTCACTTTACCTTATTTTATCTCCATGTACCTCACTTTACCTCAATGTACCTCACTTTACCTCACTTTATCTCCATGTACCTCACTTTACCTCAATGTACCTCACTTTACCTCACTGTACCTCATTTTATTTCCCTATACCTCCCTGTACCTCACTGTACATCCCCTTACTATACCTCCCTGTGCCTCACTGTACATCCCCTTACTATACCTCCCTGTGCCTCACTGTACATCCCCTTACTATACCTCCCTGTGCCTCACTGTACATCCCCTTACTATACCTCCCTGTACCTCACTGTACATCCCCTTACTATACCTCCCTGTACCTCACTGTGCCTCACTGTACATCCCCTTACTATACCTCCCTGTACCTCACTGTACATCCCCTTACTATACCTCCCTGTACCTCACTGTACATCCCCTTACTATACCTCCCTGTACCTCACTGTACATCCCCTTACTATACCTCCCTGTACCTCACTGTACATCCCCTTACTATACCTCCCTGTACCTCACTGTACATCCCCTTACTATACCTCCCTGTACCTCACTGTACATCCCCTTACTATACCTCCCTGTACCTCACTGTACATCCCCTTACTATACCTCCCTGTACCTCACTGTACATCCCCTTACTATACCTCCCTGTACCTCACTGTACATCCCCTTACTATACCTCCCTGTACCTCACTGTACATCCCCTTACTATACCTCCCTGTACCTCACTGTACATCCCCTTACTATACCTCCCTGTGCCTCACTGTACATCCCCTTACTATACCTCCCTGTGCCTCACTGTACATCCCCTTACTATACCTCCCTGTGCCTCACTGTACATCCCCTTACTATACCTCCCTGTACCTCACTGTACATCCCCTTACTATACCTCCCTGTACCTCACTGTACATCCCCTTACTATACCTCCCTGTACCTCACTGTACATCCCCTTACTATACCTCCCTGTACCTCACTGTACATCCCCTTACGATACCTCCCTGTACCTCACTGTACATCCCCTTACTATACCTCCCTGTACCTCACTGTACATCCCCTTACTATACCTCCCTGTACCTCACTGTACATCCCCTTACTATACCTCACTGTACCTCACTGTACATCCCCTTACTATACCTCCCTGTACCTCACTGTACATCCCCTTACTATACCTCCCTGTACCTCACTGTACATCCCCTTACTATACCTCCCTGTACCTCACTGTACATCCCCTTACTATACCTCCCTGTACCTCACTGTACATCCCCTTACTATACCTCCCTGTACCTCACTGTACATCCCCTTACTATACCTCCCTGTACCTCACTGTACATCCCCTTACTATACCTCCCTGTACCTCACTGTACATCCCCTTACTATACCTCCCTGTACCTCACTGTACATCCCCTTACTATACCTCCCTGTACCTCACTGTACATCCCCTTACTATACCTCCCTGTACCTCACTGTACATCCCCTTACTATACCTCCCTGTACCTCACTGTACATCCCCTTACTATACCTCCCTGTACCTCAATGTATCTCAGGGTAAATTTTCGAAGCTACAGAGAAGAGAAAATAACGTTGTTGTGGGATGGCTGGACCACAGTTACAGTGCAGACACAGGCTGAGGCAATCTGTGGTCTATGTGGAAATAATAATGGAAACAATGCTGATGAGTTCTTCAACCTTTGGTTTCACGGAAAGGACCAAATGGGTACTTTATCTCCGTAATTGTATCTCACAACCACTAACCGTATCTCACAACCACTAACCGTATCTCACAACCACTAACCGTATCTCACAACCACTAACCGTATCTCACAACCACTAACCGTATCTCACAACCACTAACCGTATCTCACAACCACTAACCGTATCTCACAACCACTAACCGTATCTCACAACCACTAACCGTATCTCACAACCACTAACCGTATCTCACAACCACTAACCGTATCTCACAACCACTAACCGTATCTCACAACCACTAACCGTATCTCACAACCACTAACCGTATCTCACAACCACTAACCGTATCTCACAACCACTAACCGTATCTCACAACCACTAACCGTATCTCACAACCACTAACCGTATCTCACAACCACTAACCGTATCTCACAACCACTAACCGTATCTCACAACCACTAACCGTATCTCACAACCACTAACCGTATCTCACAACCACTAACCGTATCTCACAACCACTAACCGTATCTCACAACCACTAACCGTATCTCACAACCACTAACCGTATCTCACAACCACTAACCGTATCTCACAACCACTAACCGTATCTCACAACCACTAACCGTATCTCACAACCACTAACCGTATCTCACAACCACTAACCGTATCTCACAACCACTAACCGTATCTCACAACCACTAACCGTATCTCACAACCACTAACCGTATCTCACAACCACTAACCGTATCTCACAACCACTAACCGTATCTCACAACCACTAACCGTATCTCACAACCACTAACCGTATCTCACAACCACTAACCGTATCTCACAACCACTAACCGTATCTCACAACCACTAACCGTATCTCACAACCACTAACCGTATCTCACAACCACTAACCGTATCTCACAACCACTAACCGTATCTCACAACCACTAACCGTATCTCACAACCACTAACCGTATCTCACAACCACTAACCGTATCTCACAACCACTAACCGTATCTCACAACCACTAACCGTATCTCACAATCACTAACCGTATCTCACAACCACTAACCGTATCTCACAACCACTAACCGTATCTCACAACCACTAACCGTATCTCACAACCACTAACCGTATCTCACAACCACTAACCGTATCTCACAACCAGATTTGCCGAGCGCATTTGTTTCTAGCTGGAATGTGGATGAAACTAACACGTGTAATGCGGTCGAGCAAATTAAGTCAAAGAATTGTTCGGACCCTGAAGTAGATAGAGAAGCCAAGAGACGGTAAGTTTATCATTTGTAGTAGAGCCTGTCATTTCCCTTGCAGGGTTCTTCCTGACGACAATGATTTTTTACTTCGACATACTTTTACTGACACCACGTTTTTATTTTCCCAATTTTTAGAATCAAATTTTAAGAGTGAAGAGAGCATTTACAAATAAATTTCAAATTATAATCAATCCAAAACAAATTTATAAAAAACAAAATCTCTGTTTAAATATTATCTGTCCAAAACCTCTGCGTAGACGACATTGTCAGTTTTTCCACTGTTGTCCAATAACAAAACTCTGAGGGCGTCCTTTCCCCAAACCTGCTTTTCAAAGTTTGTCCTCGGGGTTTGGTGGAGGTGATCGCAAAACAGGGTATTAGAGGAAACTGTCGTCATGTCAACGGGAAACGTACCATCATCGTGTGATGTTACCATAGTTACACTGATGCGGGGGATGAATAGCTTTTTATTCTTAAAACCCTCCGGCAACCACAGACTCTATTATTTTATCATGCAAGAGACTCAGTGGCGTAACGAAGGGCCCCGCTGACCCCGCTGGGGGGGGATCTTAGGGGGGCGCAAAATTGTCGTTTGAATGTGGGACAATTTTGAAAAACTTAACTGGGGTACTAGCAAAACTGCGCGTTTTGATCTAGAAACACACTTTTTTAGAGATTTTATCGGCGTATACCGAAGTTAACTTCGTCAATTATAAGCACACGGCTGCTTCTTGTAACAACTTTCCAGTAGCAAATTCTTAGAAACGTTAATAACATACGTAATTTGATGATAGGTATTTCACGAGGGAGAGGAGCAAGCTGGATAATGTGGCCCTCAAATTAATTTGACATAAGTTCAGGATATGAACCTGCACATGCAACAATGGGCCAACTAGTTTTTAGTGGTTTTGAGTTAAACGAAAAAAACTTTCCCATTTTTACAGGATATGTTGGATCATCAAAAAAATTTTTTCGTGGGTTAGGTATTCGGTTGGCCCATTAGGCACATTAATTTTTTAAGCAAAATTGTAAATAGTTTCGTCTGCATCTGGCAAAAAGTTACATGGCTCGCTGATTTCCAATAAACTTATGTGGTCTACATTACTTGGCTGAGTTGGCCCACCCATTCATATAAAAGGATATGGGCCATGTAACATAGACCAGCAACTATTTTTAATGGAAGTAATCTCATACCTATGCAATAACGGGTCACATTAACTTGGCCCACCTTTACAGTAGATCGTGTCTTGCTAATATCTGTGTAATAACGGGCCATGTTAACTTGGCCCACCTGCGAAGAAGCACAGCTTAATTATTATCTCGGGCTATGTTAGCTAGCCCATTCTTGAACTGGATAACTTATATTGAAGTAGAGATCCACATTATATAGCCCACTATTGAAAGGGCTGAATTTTCTAAAATGTTGTCCGATTTTGTTCAAAATTGACATGTAGATGCGTCTTGGCATCCTGATCACTTCTAGCAACAAAATAAAAAACCGGGCCAAGTTACTTGGCCCATTGTTGCATGTGCAGGTTCATATCACCTACCTATGTAACCATGGTGACACAGTGTAAAATAACTTTCAGGTGTGATTATCTGCTGGGTAACCCCGTCTTCACGACACAGTGTCTAGGAGCAGATCTGGAGTACTATCTAGAACAGTGTTATGTTGACCTGTGTTACCGCATGGACCTGGACAAGGAGTATCCCACAGAGTGCCAGGTGAGACACAGTACAGTATAACAGTACAGTACAGTACAGTACAGTACAGTACAGTACAGTACAGTACAGTACAGTACAGTACAGTACAGTACAGTACAGTACAGTACAGTACAGTACAGCACAGTACAGTACAGTACAGCACAGCACAGCACAGCACAGCACAGCACAGCACAGCACAGCACATTTGCATTTCAGACCGGTAATTCAAAATTCAAATAGATATCATTTCCTCTTGTTTGGTACCTATCCTACCTACCTACCTATCCTACCTACCTACCTATCCTACCTACCTATCCTACCTACCAATCTACCTACCTACCTAAATTCCAAAACTACCCCTCCCTAGTCCCTATAATTATATTGCCGGCAGCCGAACGTTCTAAGTAGATAGTCCCTAACTTAACTAGCGTATATTTCAGATAGCAAGCTCGCTGGCAGAGTTGTGTGCGGCTAGAGGCGGAGTGTTCCGGGACTGGAAGCGGAGACTGGGATGTCCTGAGTCCTGCTCAGTACGACAGGCTGTCTTCTCCACTGGATGTTCCTTGTCGCACTACCCCTGGAGGGAGAGGTGTCCAGCTCGCAACTAGCAGACAGCTGCTTTATTGGGACTTTTCACGCGTGGTTATATCTTAAATCACTGATAACTTTCTAGATAGGATATATCTCAATTTTAATTATATTTTGTTTTTGGATAATTGCAATTGTCGCAGCAGTCTAGTTGGGTACTGTACGTTGATTTTAAGAATTTAAAAATATTTTATTGATTTCAATTATTAATAAGTGGGGTTAAGATACTGTAATTTACCCTAATTCCAAACTTTGGTATTTCAATAAAGACCTCTATAATTATATCATCATAGGTTTTCAAAATTTACGTGACATGTTTAGGAATCTGTTGGCTGGAGAAATTCTGGTCGACAGTTTTAAACTTATATGACTACAACACAACAACAACAACTTAAAGTTAAAGTGGCTCAGTGGCTAAGTTGGTTAATCCGCTTGTTTACTGGCCTGCAGTTCGAATCCAAGATCTCAAAACTGAAGGGCTCACCAAACCATGGTGTGAATAATAGTGGCTTTCATTAGAGCTGCGAAATTAACACGAGTGTTATATAATGTGACAGGGACTCTACGGCGGCGCCGTACAAACCGGGACTCTACGGCGTGGGGTGTGAAAAAACAGGACTCTACGGCGGCAAATGTTATTTTTCCTATTCCCTGTCCCATTCTGTACAGCGCCGCCGTAGAGTCTTAAATCACTGCTGCTGCTGTCGCGCGCGCGCCCATAGCAGTGAGCAGCAGTTAGCAGCAGTTTCTTTGCACTTTGCCCCTCCTGTGATATAAAATATGCCTGGGGTCGGTTGCGTCCGGACTATGCTGCAATTGGAACAAATATTTTACGCGAGTATCACCCTTGTACTTGTAGTATAGCGCGTCAAATAATGTAATTGTATATCGATACCTTCAGTGGATCAGCGAGATGCACCACTGGAGAGATGCAAATTATTGACATGTGACATCAAGTTAACGGGTGATACTCGTAAAATATTTGTTTCAAATATGAAGACCATTGACGAGAATGATTTCTGGGACATGTCCCGACCATTTCCTGTTAAAATTTAATCGCTTTGTTGCGAATTTTGTCGGTAACACGACTCCTGTCCGACAGCGACATCTGTCCGACAGCGACATCTGTCCGACAGCGACAACTGTCCGACTCAGGGTACCAGAAAAAAACGACATCTGTCCGAAATTGTGATCTGATTTCAATACGACACATTTCCAATTAGAGACATGTTCCGAACTGTAACTTGCAAATTTGTTTCCGATTTGAGATATGATCTGAGCCGAGCCATAGTCTACTACCATAGTTTATTTTCATTTGATGTCGATAAATTGGACAATAGTTTAAATGTTATATTAATGTTCATAGGGTTGCTGCAGTTTTTATAATCATCTACAATTCTCTGAAGTTGTCGATCATAACGGATCCATTTGGGTGCACGTGGCTCAGGTAGTTCCCGCCCGTCTCTTTTGGTTTTCTTCACGTCTGTAAAGGCTTGTTCTGCTTTAAGGCAATCAAGGAACTTCCAAATTGCGGACTTCGAGCAGGAGAGCATTGAATGGATTCCGTGATGCCAACCTTCTGCGATATTGGATGCGGCTTCTATAGGAAGGAGGGGCTTCAGGTGCCCCCAGATTCGAGGGACGTCAGTCTCCGGTACGTATCGGAAGCCGTTCGGGACAGGGTTCTCAGAGCCTTGTTTGCGTCCAGGGGAGAACTGAAGATTGGTTGCCATTGTGGATTGCGATAACTGATCTCCGTACCGCTGTCCTATATGTACTCATGTAGGCTGTGTCCTGTGATGTGATCGACAGCTTGTTATGAATACTAATAATGTTAGTGTACGGCTAGCACGCTCCCGTCCTCAACCAGTCAAACACGTATCGATGGATCAGATCTCAATGGATCACACCAGCATTAGAACAATGGGAGCAACGTCACGAGATTACCCGTGAGCTTGTGAAATACGAATGTGAACCGAAATTACAATATGATCCGAAATTCGGACAGATGTCGCCAAAAACGACTTCTGTCCGACAGCGACATCTGTCCGAAATCCCTAATTCGGCTGTCGGACAGATGTCGCCCAATCATTTTGTCCGACAAAGGCTTTATACTTTTATAAATTAAGACGTATTATATTTGACTGTAATATGTATTTTTCACGGACAAATTAGCGTTTTTATTTTTTGAGCATGTTCAATGTTATTCTCGTTCTAAGACTAAATTATTTGTCTATTGTTAATGGAATGGCCCGGCACGCGCTATACTTACTATTAGTACTAATACTACTTCGTACTCGTAGTCGTAGCATTTGCCTCGGGCTAGTGCTAACATTTCGAGAAAAAAGCGGCGCGTGCTACTTCGATAAAATTTAGACTTTTGGTGGAAATATAACCTGCGCCATTTGCTTTTTACGGAGAAAAAAAAATCGTTTTTGAGCTTGTTATTCTCTTTCAAAAGTATCCCAAGTGATTTATATAAGTGCATATAATTATATTGATTCTTAATACATTGAAATGAAAATCAAAAAGATTTTATCTCGATTCATGAAGTGTAAAACTAAAAGAAGTTACAATTTGGGGAGTGTGTTTTCAGAGGAGATCGCCTTAAGTACATGTAACGTGCACCCCAGCTACTTACATGTAATTTAAATTAATTATTGTAAATGGAAACTCGGTAATGTCGTTCCCGTTCGGATCCAAATAGCGCAGAAGTTAGGTCCGTGATAAGTTATACTGTTAGGAGATGACTTGTTCACACAGAGACATGTCAAATGGTAAACGTAGTTATCGCGAAATATCTGCAAACCAAATAACAGCTGAAATGATAACGCGGTCCTATACAGTGTATTATTGGGTTCACAGTTTCGGAGCCTCTGAAAGAACCATAGTCACACAACAGGGCCTTTTCACAAGAATCTTTTTTAATTTGGGCGATCAGCGATTTAGTGGGAGCGGTTGCTCTCCAGTGTAGATCGTACGCCTAACCAACTAGGGTAATCTGGAGATGCAGATTTGCAATATTTAAATTCGGCACCTTCAGCATGGGATACGATCTTAAGCCACTGCACACTGGGGCGACATTTAGTACAATTCTGAGAATAAACCGGGGGCGAAATTTGTACAATTCTGAGAATAAACCGTGGGCGACATTTAGTACATTTCTGAGAATAAACCGTGGGCGACATTTATTACATTTCTGAGAATAAACCGGGGGCGATATTTAGTACATTTCTGAGAATAAACTGTGGGCGACATTTAGTACAATTCTGAGAATAAACCGTGGGCGACATTTAGTACAATTCTGAGAATAAACCGGGGCGACATTTATTACAATTCTGAGAAGAAACCGGGGCGACATTTAGTACAATTCTGAGAATAAACCAGGTGCGACATTTATTACAATTCTGAGAAGAAACCGGGGGTGACATTTAGTACAATTCTGAGAATAAACTGTGGGCGACATTTAGTACAATTCTGAGAAGAAACCGGGGGTGACATTTAGTACAATTCTGAGAATAAACTGTGGGCGACATTCAGTACAATTCTGAGAAGAAACCGGGGGCGGCATTTAGTACAATTCTGAGAATAAACCGGGGGCGATATTTGTACATTTCTGAGAATAAACTGTAAACCGTGGGCGACATTTAGTACAATTCTGAGAATAAACCGGGGGCGATATTTGTACATTTCTGAGAATAAACTGTAAACCGTGGGCGACATTTAGTACAATTCTGATAATAAACCGGGGGCAACATTTAGTACAATTCTGAGAATAAACCGGGGGCGATATTTGTACATTTCTGAGAATAAACCGGGGGCGAAATTTAGTACAATTCTGAGAATAAACCGGGGGCGATATTTGTACATTTCTGAGAATAAACCGGGGGCGATATTTGTACATTTCTGAGAATAAACCGGGGGCGAAATTTAGTACAATTCTGAGAATAAACCGGGGGCGATATTTGTACAATTCTGAGAATAAACCGGGGGCGATATTTGTACATTTCTGAGAATAAACCGGGGGCGAAATTTAGTACAATTCTGAGAATAAACCGGGGGCGATATTTGTACAATTCTGAGAATAAACCGAGGGCGATATTTGTACATTTCTGAGAATAAACCGGGGGCGAAATTTAGTACAATTCTGAGAATAAACCGGGGGCGATATTTGTACATTTCTGAGAATAAACCGGGGGCGATATTTGTACAAATACAATTTTGCTGGAACACCTCCTCTGGAAACTTGTAAATAAATTTTTGTTTAAAAGCTATCTTCTTTAATACTTTGATAGAGTTTACGACTTGAGACCTTGTGATCTCCAATTCTTTCCAAAATAAATATGTAGCGGTTTAAATCGATAGATATGAGGTTAGCCATAAGTTTGTAGGTTTACAACCTACCAGGACGCGCGCCGAGTGGAACAAATATTTTACGAGTATCACCCGTTAACCATAAGTGCGCATAACAAAATTGTCAACAGTTAACTTCATAAAAAGAGATCACATTAAGTTTAACTTTAACTACACTCCTTCTGTAAAATTCATAAATAAATTCATAAATAAATGATATCTAATCGCTCCCAATAAAATGTACATAATAAGAAGAAAATTGCATAGGTTTATGGTTCTGAACTTTGTTATCTCCAAACTCGTGGAAAGGAGAGAGAGGGTGAGCCTTACACTCCACCGGAACGGTGAAAACATCCTTCAGGGGCTGAAATCAGGTTGATAAATATGATGTATAAATTCATGAAGGATCGACTGGGACCGCTTTTTTGGCCGGGCCCGGGACTGATAAAAAGTACCGCGCCGGGACCGGGAATAAGACTGGGACCGGGATTAGGCCGGGATTGAGACCGCCAATATGATGTATAAATTCAAGGATCGACTGGGACCGCTTTTTTGGCCGGGCCCGGGACTGATAAAAAGTACCGCGCCGGGACCGGGAATAAGACTGGGACCGGGATTAGGCCGGGATTGAGACCGGGATCGTAGATAACAAACATTTTACTTTTAATATTCTTTGTGCAAAAAGTTGTTTGATAATTTAAGAAAATTAGCAAAAATAAATTTTAAAAACTTAAAATTGGTCCCGGTCAAAATTCGGCATTTTAGCCGGGACCGGGATTCCCGGTCCCGGCCGATTTTTTACCAGGACCGGGATTAAGCCGGGATCCCGGTCGAACCTTGTCAGTATAATGTATAATGTACAGGGTGGGCCAAAAGTCAGTGGGCATACGTTGGCCTTAAGGGGAGATACACCAAAAACGTTTTTGCTCCGAACATCGATTTTATTTTATATTATGGTTAAATAGACAAAAAGAATAAAATTGCACACCTTCAAAATTTTCTAAAAATATTCCCTCATCGAGAAAAAAAAAAATTTTTCTTTTTCGAAAATTTTAAAAATTTGGAGAAGTCTGTCGCTGTAATACCGATAGTTCGGCCATTTTAAAAGTTTTTTTTGGCTGATTTTTTTACTGAACATTACTTACAATCTGTACAAGAAGCCATTGAAAGGATTATATAATTGAACGATAAATGACGAAGTTACAGACCAAACAACTAACAAGGTCGAAAAAAATAAAAATTGAAATTTTTCCCACTTCTAAAGTTGTACATTTCACCAATCACCCGGGTCAGCAGATATCGCTTCAAAAATTCTTGTGAGTGTAGTTGATGATCATATCAAACTTTTGGAGTAGGATTTTTCTCAGATTTGAGTTTTAAGCTATGCAATGTGGCCTCAAACGACTGAGTAAAATTCATCGTAAAAAAAGGGCAAAAAAGGCAGATTTAAGGCTTAAAATGCCTATAACTCAAAAATTATCAGTTTTTTTGAAATAATTTTTACAGAATCATAATCAGCTTGGTAAGACGAATCTTTTAGTACCAAATAGGTGCTTTTAGAAGAAATAAATTTTGTACAAATTGTACACATATTTTAACAAATTTTGTGTCTTTAAATATTATAAATGTCAAACTAAAAGATTCGTCTTACCAAGCTGATTACGATCCTGTAAAAATTATTTCAAAAAAACTGATACTTTTTGAGTTATAGGCATTTTAAGCCTTAAATCTGCCTTTTTTGCCCTTTTTTTTACGATGAATTTTACTCAGTCGTTTGAGGCCACATTGCATAGCTTAAAACTCAAATCTGAGAAAAATCCTACTCCAAAAAGTTTGATATGATCATCAACTACACTCACAAGAATTTTTGAAGCGATATCTGCTGACCCGGGTGATTGGTGAAATGTACAACTTTAGAAGTGGGAAAAATTTCAATTTTTATTTTTTTCGACCTTGTTAGTTGTTTGGTCTGTAACTTCGTCATTTATCGTTCAATTATATAATCCTTTCAATGGCTTCTTGTACAGATTGTAAGTAATGTTCAGTAAAAAAATCAGCAAAAAAAACTTTTAAAATGGCCGAACTATCGGTATTACAGCGACAGACTTCTCCAAATTTTTAAAATTTTCGAAAAAGAAAAATATTTTTTTTCTCGATGAGGGAATATTTTTAGAAAATTTTGAAGGTGTGCAATCTTATTCTTTTTGTCTATTTAACCATAATTTGTCTTGTTTACTGTATTAAAAATCGATTAAAAAAGTATCTTCTGCTAAAAGTAAAATTGGGAAAGAAACGCCCAAAACGATTAACAAATTTCGGATTTTTAATGGTTTTGAATGCCTTCGGTATATACGCCTATAATGCAAAAAATAGAATATTAATATTATTATAAAACACAAAACTTAATGATAACTCACTTTGCTTTTGTGATTTTGACAATACTGAGAGTAATCCATCTGACAAGTGAATCCCAAGTTTCTGATAATGAGAAGGGAGGTGTCAGCTTCTTCATCCACTAATCTCAGGTTAACTAGCTCCTCGTCACACGGCAGACTCTTCCTGTACATATGGATCATCATTAATTAATCACTCTACACTCGAGTGTCACGTGACTTTTTAAACACGTTCTCTTGGTGGCCCTGAATGACTATTCGAAATTCTAGCCCTCTGATCTGATCCCAACCCTAACGCTCCTACTAAATCGCTCGCCCAAATTTTAAGAAAATTCTTGTGAAAAGGCCCTTTGGCCTTGGGAAAGAAATTGATCTTCATCAGTGATCAGTGTATTTTTGGACGCTGATTCCGAATCACACGGGGTGTGATTAAGAATCAACGTCCGAAAATACATCGATTGAAATTGGTCTCAACTGTTGGGGGCCCTTTTAGAACAAAAAATGCGGCCGCTTTTCTTTTGTGGATGGCCGCTCAATTTCCCAATCCGTGATGGTTTATCATATTCCATACAACCTTGTATATTGGGACCCCAGTCTTTATTGTTTATAAGCATGCATATATCATATATGTGATATGGCGGAGTGACAGGCCGAGCGCCGCCCAGTTAATATAATTCCATGTTGAATTTGAAAATTGTGTATATTTCTATGTAACCACATGTTTATTGTTTATGCAAGGGGCCATCTACTTAGGACGTCCGGCAAATAGGAAGGGGGGTGGTTTTGGAATTTCGGACAAATCCGGACAGGGGGAGGGGGGTGGTTTCTGAAAATCCGGACGTTCGGAAATTTTGGCAGAATTAACGAAAATTCCCATTTATTTCGACTCTTTGAATTTTATTTCAACTCTTTGAATTTTATTAACAATGAATTTGAGTTGGTTTTATTTGTAGTCTTAAAAGTAGCTGGAATTCTGACGTCCGGGGAAGGGGGGAGGGTTTTGAAAATTCGGACACACCCGGACAGGGGGAGGGGGTGGTTTGAAAATCTACGATTTTGGCGGACGTCCTAAGTAGATGGCCCCTTTGCTTATTTGCTTCCTCATAGTTTTTATTGAAACTATACCAAAATTACACACGAACGAACGAACGAACGAACGAACGAACGAACGAACGAACGCAAACACTTTTTGGAATCATTAGTATAGGTATATCCTCACATGAGTTGTACAAATCTGGTAGATGAAGAGTCCCCAGGTTTATGTCCCGCGAAAACAGGGTGCATAAGGGACTGCTGAACCCAGTAGCTCAAAAGAGAGGGGTACTCAACAACGTAGTCCTCCACTTTAGCACCGGGACCAAATTCCACAAGGAGTCGTAGTCGCGCCGGTGTGGGAACGTTGTCGTCCAAACCCTGGCCTAGACCTCTCCCATCATCTTTCTGGTTCCTTCTGTCCAGCACTACTTCTAGATAACCTGGCAGTGTAACTATGGTAACCTGGCAGATAACAGAGTGTAACTATGGTAACTATGGTAACCTGGCAGATAACAGAGTGTAACTATGGTAACTATGGTAACTATGGTAACTATGGTAACTATGGTAACTATGGTAACTATGGTAACTATGGTAACTATGGTAACTATGGTAACTATGGTAACAGAGACTCACCCTCTTTCAGCGAAGCCACACCGTGAGGTTCAGAACTGAGTACTGAGAACCGAGTCTCTGAATCTTGGATAAAGGCTGTAGAGGGCATCGGGAAGAAGTTACCCTGGTACGTGGTATTGCGGGTAAGTAAATAAGGCGAACAGGGGGAAAACTTTTTAAACATAGATAATATCATATTATTCATTTCGCTGGTATGGCTGATCCCCCTAGTAATAAAACGACCTGAAAAAAAACCTGAATTTTAAGTTTGTCTTTGTATTTGTGCTGCTGGATAGTGTGTCCATTAAGATCAGTAAACAAGCTTCCTCCACTCTTAATATCAGTTTTAAATCTCATACTAAGGTCCCCTACTTCCTTCAGATCTGTCAAAATCTCCAACTCAACATATTCCTCTTCTACACCTGAATAGGATAAGATGCAGCTCTTAAACAGAGGGGTAGGAAGAGGCCCCCCCTCCCCATAAAATCTTGGAAAGGGGCCAATTTTTTTGGCCCCATTCCATTTTTTGTAAACTTGATTTGGTCAACTGCTATCTCGAAATCAAGTTTCACAAAAAAATACCCATTGAAATTTGATCGAATTAAAAAAAAAAGTATATCACAATGCTGGCAAGCATTACCGTCGCCCTTATATTCACAATACTATTTACCCCCTATACTAGTATATCCCCTTTATTGTTTTCCAGGCATTAAGACTCATCGAAAGTAGTTCAGCAGGTAAATTTAAGTTCAAAACATTCTAATTCAATGTTAAAGATGACAGGAATAAGAAATAGTTATGTGGAGGTTTTTTAGAAATTTGCGCAAAATACGCGCCAGCATGTTATACGAAATTAGGTAAAAAACCCAAAATCGCCATATTCAGGTGCCTTAAAAACCATGTTAAAATTGAGTTAGAGATCTGAAACTTTGCACGGCGTCTAGACCTGTCCAAATCGACTGTAAAAAAAATTGCATGTTTTCAGGAGTATCGGGAGATGGGTTTTCTGGAACCCCTTTTTACAACAGATTGTCGTAGAAGTATATATATATATATATAGACGCTTTTGAAGTCAATTGTAGCCTACATTTAAGTGTCCGTAGATTCAAAAGTATAAAAGATACAGTCATTTCGAACCACAGGTTTTAAAGATAATTGTTTATACTTTAGTTTACATTATATCAAAAAATAATTTATCTTCATCATCAACACTTGATGACGTCATCAAATTAGGTGTTTTTAAAACTTGGTTTTTGACAAAGTAACAACTTTTCAAATCGATTTAAACCATTAAGGAGTAAATTTTATTCAAAACTTGAGGACATTTTCATCTTAGATAATTGTTCAAGCATTCTGAAAATCTACCGGAATAGTTTCTTACTTTGCTCCTTCATAAAGATATCGCTATTGAAGTAAGTGCTTTTTTGAAGAATAATTTTATAAAAACACAAAAGTTGTGAATTAGTATTCTCTGGTGTTGGGCCATCCCTTGGGTTGTGCCTGTGGAGCTCAATTTTGCTTTTTAAAGGTCTAAATTGTGTTTATAGGCTAGTTTAAAGTTGGAAAATCAAAAAGTTGCACACGTGGGGACACGCCCAGTTTGATAGAAAAATTGCTAAAATTACTGAAAATTGCTGTTTTCACCATTTTTATCAACTTTGGAGTCTCGTTGTGATCCAAGTTCTATATGAAATCTTCTGAAACTTTGCATGCTTATTAAACTATATATAAAATACGCTATGCAAAAATTTACGGTGATTCAATATCTGTATCCGCACGCAACGTCCGCTCAAAGTTTGCACGTGCGAAAGGTGAGAATTTGCTCATTCGTGATTTCGAATAAAATCTGCTTTCCTACGATATTTAAATGGCATTATATATGAATTTAATGCCAACTTGATAAGTAAAAAGTGCCATATTCAGTCAGGTAAAATTTCGAAATTGAATGAAATTACCTCCTAATTATTAATATAAATATTAATGAAGTTATGAGTTACATTTCGGCTTTGTAAATTATCTTGACATTATAATCAAAAAGAGATGATATTTGACCAAAACCCATAATCATGGGTAGAGTGTACCGCTGCCAGTGTCTCTCTTTTCCAAACAAAAGGAAATGATATTAATTTGAATAACCGTCCGAAAATGCAAATTGATACGAGAATGAAATCGGTCGCTCGCTTTTTCCAATCAATAAGCATTATATTACAATTCGTAAGCCGTGATCGAATGGAAAAAGCGAGCGAACCGATTCATTCTCGGTATCAATTTGCATTTTCGGAACGGGTTTATTCAAAATTTAAAATTTATTTTCCTTTTTTTTTGGAAAAGAGGACACTGGCGCGGTACACTTACCCCCGGGTTTGGGGGGTTTTTTAAATTCAAGTATATTAAAAAGAGGTTTTTCCCGATTTTGAGAGCGGAATAACTTTAATATGCCCCCCCCCCCCCACCCTTTTTGGACCTAAGGGTATTTCCGTAAAAGGGCTTGACCCCCCAAGGCACACAAAGCCAAAATCTTTTGTTTTATCAAAACCCCTGCTAGCCAACCGAAAAAAATTCTGAAATTTCCCCAAAAATACACTAGTACCCTTTTTCGAAACAACTTTTAAATTTGCAAGAGCTGCTGTGGGATGGCTTAATATCAAAATTAAAAAAAATTATTATTGAAATGTTTTTGAAACTGTGTTTGAAAATTTTATAAAACCCAAATTGCTCCTAGGCTTTTTGCATGAGAAAATCTTCAAAAAAATTTTGCCCCACGGCGAATTTCGCCATTATTTTCCCATTCTAACGAAATTTGGACAGGAAGCAGCTTTCGGCAGTCCCCCCAAAAATTTTAAAAAAAAAAAGTTTTAAAGGGATTTTAAAAATGATTTTTTATTTTTGCAGGTTTTTTAATTAACATACCCCCCCAAAAGGGTTTGTGTATGATGACTGTTTCTGTCATACTTTACAACTGCCTTTTGCTTAAGGGCCCTTTTATTACCACAATTCGAGGTCGAGACGTCTCTACAAATGCAACAAACAGGGTATAAGTACTCTACTAACAAGTATTTACCCTGCTATCTAATACTCCCCTGCTACTCAACAAGTATCACACTGCTAAATCAAAAGTACTCAACCGGGACTCAACAAATCCCCCCCCGCACTCAACAAGTACCCCCTGCTCTCGACAATACTCACCCTGCTACCAACAAGTACTCACCCCGCACTCAACAAGTATCAAGCACTCAACAAGTAAACCCCCCCTAACAAGTACTCAAACCCCGCAAATAAAAAATAATCACCCCGACTTTAACAAGTATCCCCCTTACCCAAGTACTCCCCCCTGCTACCCAACAAGTACTCACCCTGCTATCAACAATTTTCCATCCTTTCCAACAAGTACTTCCCCCCGCTACTCGACAAGTACTCCCCCTGCTATCAACAAACTCACCCCGCGCTCAACAAATATTCACCCTGACTCAACAAGACTCCCCCACTCAAAAGTACTCACCCCGCTACTCAAAAAAGTACTCACCCCCGCATCACAAGAATCACCCTGCACCCCAACAAGTACTCACCCTGCTACCAAAAATATCACCCTCTACTCAACAATTCTCACCCTGCTAATCAACAAGTACCACCCTCTACTCCCAAAAGTACTCACCCGATCAAAAGTATCACCCCCTTTCTCAACAATTCTCACCCCTCTCAACAATTATCACCCGCTATCAACAAATTTCACCCCCGCACCAAAAAAGTATTCCCCCCTGTACTCAAAAGTACTCACCCTGCCCAAAAGTACTAACCCGCAAATCAACAAGTCTACCCTGCTGCTCAAAAATCTCCCTGCATCAAAAGTACTCACCCCGGGCTCAACAAAACTCATGGTACTCAAAAAAGTCTCACCCTGTGTTTAAAAGTACCACCCTGCTACTCAACAAGTAAAACCCTGCTAAACAATACTCACCCTGCTCTCAACAAGTACTCACCCCCCTGTCAACAAGTACTCACAGGGTGCTCAACAAAGTCCTCCCGCCTCAACAAGTACTTTAAAACCCCCCCCCCCACCAAGTTTTCCCCTGCTCTCAAAAAGTACTTTAAACCTGCACCAACAAACAATCAAAAAGTAAATCACCCTGTTATCGAAAATACTCCCGTTGAGCAGGGGGGCCCTTGGTAAGAAAAGGGGAAGCACCCGCAGTATTGTTGTACAGCAGTATTTTTCCTCTCCATTCTCGTTACCCCCCCTTTCCTTAAGTGTTGTATAGCCGCCCCATAATTATGACGGTTAGTATTATTAATTACCTAAAAAAATTAACTAAAATAAAAACACGTGACTTTAAACACAAAATTGACCCCCCGTCCCCGCAGCCAAGACAATCTGAGTTTTTTCGTCCCCAAACAATATCTTTGCAATGACCCCAGAGTGGATCCTGCGTGGGGAAAGTCGTGAAATCAGGTGCCAGCTCGTATTGTAAACGTCTACGGCCCTTTTTTTATCGGGGGGCCCCTGGGACCATTTTGTAACTGAGGGATATTTTATAAAAATAACCAGTGACTTTGCCAGCCTAAACAAAAGAAACAAAAGCTTTGCTTTTAGAAAACATTTTGCCTGCTTCGAAAATTTCCCGGAGGAAAAATTAAAGTTTTAGTGTCCCCCATTGAATTAAAACCAAATCCCCCAAAATTCCAACGCAGAAAAATGCAGAAAAAGGGCAAAAAATACCGTTGCACCGTGCTTCGACTTTCTGGGTTTTTTTTTCCTCTTTATGCTTGATTTGGAGGGCTTTCGACGCGCCCCCGCGAAAAAATCATTTTTGCTTTGCTTTATTTCCCGCAGATCATGAAAACCCTTTGGGCAGGACTCGAAGGGTAAAACGTAAAACAATCAAAAAGGGTGTAAAATGAAAAAATTCAAAAATTTACCCCCAAAATGGTCTTAAAAAAAAAATTTGTTCCTTAGAATTTTGTGAGCGTACGTTTGTGACCACAAAACTTTAAAAAAAGTTTTAAGGGGCCCCGGGTGATCGATACAGTTTTTCCCTTTCCGCAGGAGACATTTTAAAAAGTCAGGGGGGGGGATTTGGGAACAATCCGAAAATAAACGGTTGAAGTTTGGGTTTCAACCCAAAGGGGCCCCATTAGAACAACTCGAAATCGATGTAGAGTGATTTAGCCGCTCGTAACCCCTTTCGGCACTGAGGGATGGATCGGGGAAAATTGAGTGTTTTTAGTAGTACTATAACGACGGTCCACTCAATGTTTTGGGGTTTTGGGAACAATTTATTCGAATAATTGGGAAGTTAGCACTACGTTTGTATGGACGGGGGGCGTGTTGTTAGCAGTACTTTTTATAGGACGGAGGGGTGTTGCTCGGGAACGTTGTTTTTAAAAAGACGGAGGGGGTGTTTTAGGGTT